AAAAAATCGTTAGTTTTTTCAATTCATTCAGGTTTAAAAATTTTATTTATGCTTGCGTATTAGAATTAATTGTAAATAAAAATATGTAGATTAGGTTAGAGTAGTAGCCTTGCATTCAGTAAACCCACTTAAGCACAAATAATGGGTCATTATTGATACAATGGACCATGATATCATGGATTAAACACTGATTGATACGCGATAATAAGTGGACCATCAAAACAAGTATAAAGGCCGATGCACAGATGACGTCACTAGTCGACTTTTCCATAGGTTAGACCTATTGTGTTACCGTATAATAAAAAACTCAAGGGTTAGAACCACTTAGAATATAATATTTGGCAAAGCTTATAATGCTATTCAGTAGGAGGTCTTGCAGTTCGCCAAGATACTCAAAATAGAAACCCCATAAAGTGATAAGGCTGCGCTGCACATATGCTAGATAATAACAAAGCAGATGGAAGGTTCTTTTATCCTCCATTAAAGTAAAAGTAAACCAACATGACTAGTCTATAAACTTGGATACTTGGATCAATTAAGGGCAATTGTTAACAGAAAAGATCTGCTATAATTTCAGTGCTCTATTTTTCAGATAGCACAAAATCCTTTTATATTATATTTTAGAAAATGTGTTTTCTTTATATGAAAAGTATGTATATATGCAGTAAATAACATCTTCACATTTTTAAGTAAAGTTCTACATCAGTTAGATGGGGAACATATTTGTAAGGTTATTAAGTTAGTTTAATATCATTTCTTATTTTCAATGTAGGTACATGTTACTTTCATTTAAATTATCTAGATTACTAAACTAATAAATTGATAAATTTACAGAATTTTATATAATAATTTACCTATCATAATATATATCTATGTATACAAAATTTTTGTTTATAGTTTTTAATATAATTTTTAATGTACAAAAGCTAATTTTCTATAAGTATCTTTTAACTCTGTACGCGCCAACAAATCGGTTCCTTAAATACAAATTTACATGCAATCTCCATGTCAAAGACATATTACATACAAGTATATAAATAGCTAATAAAATGATCAATTAATGGGAAATAATGATAAAGCAAATAAATAGCTTATAAAAACATTTTTTAAATTAATAATAAAAACAATTTACCCATTAAAATCTATGAAAAACCATAAGCATAAATACTAATTTAATATACAATAAATATTTTATAATTACAAAAACGTTTAAACCTTAATCTGTTTAAATTATTGTTAAAGAAATTGATTAACAATAAAGCAAATAAGTAGTAATAAGATATTTGCGAAAATACTTCCAGCATTGCCGCACAATTCGATAGAACTTTCCTGTAAAAGTAGGGGTTATATTTCTGGTGGAGAACTCAAACCAAATTATGTGCAAGTACTTACATTAACATGCCTGTTAATACAACTTACAGGACGTACTCTTGTGAACTCACGATCATGCTTATAGCATGCTAATGTATCATTTCCCTCTAATTGATAATTAATGTCGATGGGATTTACGGTCAACTCCATCGTATATTCCTTAGGGCACACCTGATCGATGACGAGTAATATTAGATTACTCGCTGGTATAGGCAACACAACAAAGGGCCTGACACATGCATGTGCTGTTATATTATAGACTACATTATCCTTGTCATTGTACAATGTATATAACAGACGTTGCATATCGCATGATTTGAGCCGTGTGCGCTGCAATGTTACTGATTTTAACCATTCGGTGTTTTTCGTACTAGGTTGGTAAAAGGTCAAATTTTCATCCGTATATTGCTCTATAAACTCAGCAGTTACCGCATGCATTTGTACAATATACCACAATAAAGTATAAAGCAGCCATTTAACTATGCGTAGCACATGGAGTAAGGGCTAAGGAATAATATAAATTTGTATGACAATATATAGCAATGTATAAATAAAATCTATTTTACCGAAAATAAGTAATTGGAAGAATTGTTGTCTCCATTCGATTGAAAACAAATCGCTTGATAGTCGTAAACAGTAACACGTTTATACACTCTTTCTTCAACCAAGCGGTGCATAATATAACCATTGATTTCACCAAAAAATTTTCCAGTCTCTTGACGATGCGGTGATATAATGACAAAACCATTATTGTCTAATATATAGCAACCTTTATCGTCCATTGCGCAAGCCTAATATAAATATTTAAATTTTTATCAATGTATATAGTTGTAGCTTTGAATTAGTATAAATTAAATTTATCACGTTTTAAATAGAATAATATATGTATGTTATATATTACTAAAGATATATAAAAATTAATGCATAAGCATAATATAGAGTGCATTTGGCAGTAATGTGGTCCATTTTTTTACAAATCGGACGGATTTTGGAAAAAAAAATTGATATATGCTTTTTTTTATAAAATAAGAATACCATTATCTTTGTAAAAAATTTTGTATTTTTTTTTGCTAGAAGATATCTACCCGTACCCAAAAATACAGGTGTTTTTATTTTATTAAAGGATCTCATAAAAGATTTTCGGACAAATCGGAGATGATAAGTTCAAAAACATAACCGATTTGTAAATGAATGACCTATGTACAGGGATCTTCACATAACTTTCCATTATAAAAAATGCAATATATGCCGGTGTACTTTTATTTTATGACGTCATCATTTTCGACATGTTTATAATTTTTATTACACGTATTTCATAGAACAATATGGGTATTGAAATCATATCTTCTGAATTGGAATAATACACAGTAAGTATGAAACTATTTAAACGTAGTTCTATTAAGTATTACTATCATATTAACAGTTTTTGAGTTCTATTCAGAATAGAATACAATATAACTATCTTCAAGATTGTTATCTACGTAAGAGTTACCCCAAAATAAATGGTCATTCCAACAATTCTTTAGTTTCGTTTACAATGACTAATGACTTCATGATACTTTAAACAAAAAGGGGTGTTACAATAAAAGTAATATATATTTTAAACTCATATAGATTTTCCAAATGTGAATCAACTGAGACGCACCTAATTTCATTTAATCATAATCTACAATTTTATCTGTTTTGAACAGTGGTGTATATAAGAGGATTTTGAGATTCAAATTCTTCTGAAACTATTTGAGCCGTAATTAACACGTTATATAATTATCAATCTTTTTTTCAATTAAATTTTTTCATGTGAACTTTAGCACAGTTTTTAAAAACACCCTAAATAAGTCTCTGTATACGTCCCTGATTTTGAAATATTATCTTTCACTTACATTGCCTGTTATATTACGGAAGAGTTTCAATAGGGCTGTATGTTGAAATTGAAAGCCAACCACAGCGGCTGGAGCCGATTTACCACCTTCGGTATGAAAAATAGCGTGACTAGCAGTTACAATGGTTTCTCCACCTGAGTCTATAAAAAAATATAAAATTAAATAATTATTAATATAAAATCTATATAAAAAATTTTAAAACCTCCAGCATCAAATGGCACTGAATACACGAAACTTTCTTCCCGGACAAAATGTTGATCTACTGCACGTTTGTACCAAATTTCATCAATCGAATGTTTATTTCTTTCACTAAATGATTCACTAAAAACATTAAAATATAATATCAGATAATATATTTATATTTATATAATACAAATACACTCTACTTACCCCGCCCCAACTTCATCAGCATTATTTGAATGAAATTCTTGCCATCTGGTTAAACCACTGTGAGTGGCAAGAAATGCAACTGTGATGCCAAATCGTTGCTTAAACTCATTTCTATTATTAAAAAAATGTAAGGATAAAATTTATTTTTATAGTGAAAGAATAAAAATAAATATAACAACTGAAAATGTTGAATATTTATATTTTACCTTGGCAACAAACCCATTAAAACCGCAATCGGGCTTGAAGCACTTGTGCTAATGTTTAATTAACATTGGTAATTGTGCAGTTTAATTAAAAAAGTGTCGATTTAAAAAAAATAATATATTTGGTATACATTTCACATTTCGAAATTAAAGGATAAGAGAATATATAAAGATACAGAAAGTAGGACGATTTTGCGAAATATATTTAAAAAGAAAAATAATTCATATATATTGTTTATTTAATAATTAATTAGTAAGAGTATTATGAGTTAAAAAGTAATAAATATTTGTTCTAAATATTGATATTCATCAGATCTAGGATTTTACAGAAAAATTTTCAAAGAAATATTCCTCTGAATAAAATACAAACTTTTGAATTAAACAACTAAAAATTATCATCAATGCTGTCCTGGCAATAATAAGAGTACCCAAGAAAGCCCACTTGAGAACAAATGATGGCCCATTGTGGTACCACAAGATTGGCGTTTATTCATACATACATTAAATGTCAGTAAAATATCTAACAAATTACCCCTTAGGTAAAGATAAACCAACCTCACAGTTGCATAAATTAAGCTAAATCCATAATTCCATATATAATTTTGCAGGATGACAGGTCGGTAAGAAAAGAGACCCTGAAGATTTTTAATGTTACCCTATCTAAAAATGTGCACTGACAAATGAGATGGAACGCATTTTCGTCCTCATCCTCAAAGCCACAACCACGACAAAAATCATTAAAGAGGAAAACACAGTCTTATAGCAAGGCTACTTCTTATGCAGTGACCCGTCAGTACTGATACCGTATTGCACAACAGCTTGCATCTTAGTTGAATAGCTGACTAGCACTTTTTTGTCCCATCTAGACTAGGTCAACCTAGAGATCTGACAGCAGGATTTGTCTGCCCAGTTTTGCTTAGCTGTGCTCAGATATTTTTGTTTAATTGCCAGTTTAACTGTTGCAAGTGGAACGCCAATATTTGAGAAGTACATTTCAGGGAGAAGAGCGTTTGCCTTAACAAGCTCATCTGCCCTGCAATTGCCTGAGATATCCCTATGTCTAAGAACCCATATGAGTTGGACCTTAACTCTCATAGCTAAATCGTTGAGGGAAGCTCGGCATTTTCGAGTTATAATAGATGTGGCTTTAGTACCAACCAGTGATTTAATGGCACCTTAGTTGTCCGAGAATAGATATTTTCCGAATGAGATATTTTCATTAGGAATCTGTTTACCAAAAGCCCATTTTACTAAGGAATGGATTGACATCGCTTCTTCCTGATAGCGATGAATAATTTATGCAACTGAAAAATTTGGGAAATATTAGGAAATATGTCAGTCACATAAAAGATGTGTGACCCAATACCAGAATGAGATTTTTAATTACAGCCAAGAGCATACCACATAAAGGAGTAACTAAAAAACAATAGTTATCATAGAAAAAGAATTATTATTAAATTTTGAATGGAACAAAACTGATGAGATACGCATAATTTATGATGGTTTCCAAAGTTAGTTTAAATTTGACAAAAAAATTCTATTCCTAAATATATTGTTCAATAGATTTAATACCCACATAAGAGAAACCCACATATGATCTCAATATAACTTTAAAACATCGTCTTATAATATTACTATTATTTTTATTATAATTATTATTATATTATT